TCGAAATCCCTGTTTAAAAGAAACTACCATACTGTTCAAACGAGTAATAACGAATTAGTCATCCGTCTTTTGGCTCGAATGGGTTAATCCTCTGTAGGAAGAAGACAGCGGATATATGTAGTGGGTTTAGAAATTAACTATAAATATCATGAGACACCATTGTCGGTAGCATGAAACATTGCGTTCTTTGTTCAGGTACGTGTTACGTTCGGTATCGTAATTGTGAGCTTGTAACTTAATTAAAGGTCGTGTAAGACTATACGCTTTCAGATGTTATCGCAGTAATGTAAATAAAAGAATTTCTGATGGATATTTGTGTATTCGAAAATTGGTATTTTATAATTAGCGTTATATTGTATTTTATTTCCAATGTGAGAGTTAATGGATAAAGTTCCGAATAGGTGAACCCTCCGATTTTTTTGAAACTACACTATTTTTTGTATTTTTTAACGCTGATTACAAATGTGATAATGAAAATTTGCGACAAGGTCATTTTCAAGGTCAAAACAAAAAAACTGAAAAAATATAACTTTTTAGACATTATTTTAATAAATATTGATGTAACAAAAAAATGTTTCAAATAAAGGTTGCAGTTCTTAAAAAAATACATTATTTATGTTCTATAAATTTTTTGCGTGAAACTGAAAGTTTTCGAGAAAATCGATATTAAAGACTAAAAACGGCGGGTGAAGTTCCGAAAAACTAGACAAATAGGTTTGCGTGGAACCTCGCTCTGCGTGGAAAGTTGTAAACCCATGTGGAATCGTATATGTACTGCAAAGTACATGCTTAGATGGGAGAACAGATATAAGATTTAGATTCCATCGTTTTTGTTGAAAACTATCGTACGGTAAAAATTAATAGGACATAAAATGTTTTTCTCTGTAAGATCTAAAATTGTTATGGGTTTTTCATGATTTTCACTATGAAAATAAGAGATGCACCAATTTTCATTATGATATTCGTAATCAGTGCATCAAAATACGTAAGAATACTGAGTTTCAAAAAAAATCAGAGGTGAGCACTGTTCGGAACTTCACCCGCCGTTTTTAGTCTTTAACATCGATTTTCTCGAAAACTTTCAGTTTCACGCAAAAAATTTATAGAACATAAATAATGTATTTTTTTAAGAACTGCAACCTTTATTTGAAACATTTTTTTGTTACATCAATATTTATTGAAATAATGTCTAAAAAGTTATATTTTTTCAGTTTTTTTGAGTTTTGACCTTGAAAATGACCTTGTCGCAAATTTTCATTATCACATTTGTAATCAGCGTTAAAAAATACAAAAAATAGTGTAGTTTCAAAAAAATCAGAGGGTTCACCTATTCGGAACTCCACCCAAATATTTCAGTAATCTATAAATTGCCACTGATTATAAAATTTGTAAAAATAGTGTTACATATAAATATTAAACGTGAACTAGATAAAATAAATCAATTAGCGAAACAAAGAGAACAATGTTGGCGGGAAAGAAATACGATTATTTAAAATATGATTAATATAAAAATTTATCATGTTTTATTATAATTAAAATTTATAGTAAGAGCAATTAGTCGTATTTTATGTCTCTCGAAAATTATACAGTTCACCTTTGTCAAAAGAATTCATCGTGAATTCACAAGTCACAAGATAATGATGATCAGCCAGGACTTTAATGGAATCACATTATGACAAGCAGGTAGTAGAAATTGCATTATATATATTTCACACTTTGCATTATTATTTTAAAAGCGAACAGAACGAATTACTAATGTACTTGCAAATGCATAATAAAGTTTCGGAATGTATGACATTGAATGATGAAGCGAGATAATTCAGAAACAAAGCTAGCGAAATTAACTACCTATGCGGTAATGAGAGATGTATTGTCACATTTTTTGTTAATAAAAATGATTTAATGCTCGTGTAAACTAATGTCGCTCTTCGTAGCATTGATGTGTCTTTGTTGAAAGAAAGAAATTTATCTTTATCTCTTTTTTTCTGTATAATTTTAGCATCTTTGAGGAAGGAACAGCTTTTCAATTTTTTCAATATATTATGATATTTTATCTACAATTTCTTTCAAGTAAAAGTTTTCACACTTGAAATTCACGAAGGAACAAGATTTCACCATCTATTCGTCAGAACTCTCTGCTTTTCGATTGTAATCCTATATAATAGATAGATATATAAATATATTGCAAATTTACTGGTATGTACTGCATCTAATGTAAGGATAATAGTCGGAATATCGTGTAGGCACAGAGCTCACTTAGGTAAATCGAGGACTGCATTTCTAGAGTCGTTGAAGACGGCACCGACCAGAAGCATTCATACGCCGACCTCGTATTGCGACAAGTGCGGCGTTACATTTACGACGCAGCACGCTCTTCTGCGACACATCACCTCCAAGCACGAGGAGTCGTCTAACTCCGCAGTCTACTGCAACATTTGCCAGCGCGTCTTCAAGACCAAATGGAGCCGGGCGACGCATAATAGCAGATACCACAGAAATTGACCTGAAAATCGCCAATTTCCGCACGAAATACGGCTGTAATGTTACATCATATATCGTAATATTCCTCCAGTATAGTATCGGTAAATTGATAGCGATTCCATCAATAAGCACTTTGGTTTCGCCGCCTCTGTTTATAGAATATCTTGTTATTCTTGTTATTGAAAGAATATCTGAAGTTGATATTCTTGCAAATGTTCGTTTTACTTTAAGTTTTCACAACATAAATTTTGATCCAGTTTACTCGAAAATAATTAATTTTGCGACTATTTGTATTTTACTAATTTAATAATAAAATGTGTACAGGGGAAAAACGGCGGTATGTTGATGGAGCATCCTATTATTAAGATTATTTATTTATAAAGTGATAGATATAATTTTTAAATTATATAATTGTAAAGAGACTAGATATATATGAGAAGAAAAAATAATTATAATTTATTACTAATTAATTTTTATTTAATGTGTTGAATATTTATTAAAATCATAGAAAGCAGTCTTATTCTGTAGAATTCAGATCGGGTCTTGCGTATTTTTTTTTTTTTTTTTTTTTTTTTTTTTTTTTTTATTTTTTTTTTATGTCGAGTATTAGTTATTATGTAACATGTAATCAAAAAAATTAGATATCATCTACACATCATGAAGATAATATAAGTTAAATGTGAATATTAGATAAATATTAGAAATAATACACAAAGAATAAATGTTAGCAATGTTAAACACACACATATATTAAAGACAGCTGTTAACAATCAAACCAAATATATATAAAAATACTTACAAATGCTTAAAAAATTGTTTGTTAACATGATATATATTCTTTGGCCTTTAAAACAAAATTATAGAGTATATAAAATATGAAGACAAAATTCGAGAAACTTTATAAAATATTAACTCTGTACTTACTTTTCTTTCTCAGAATCATTTAAACACAATTCATCGATTTGTCCAACCATCTCATGAACAGCATTAAAAATACAAAAAATAGTGTAGTTTCAAAAAAATCGGAGGGTTCACCTATTCGGAACTCCACCCGAGTTAATTGCTCTTATCGTTAGAAGAATTGTAGTAAATTATTTTCATTATAAATTTTCCCTTACATTCTTCATTTATTGTTAGTTTTATCTATTTTAATGATTTAATTTTAAATATATATTAATATAAAAATTTATCATGTTTTATTATAATTAAAATTTATAGTAAGAGCAATTAGTCGTATTTTATGTCTCTCGAAAATTATACAGTTCACCTTTGTCAAAAGAATTCATCGTGAATTCACAAGTCACAAGATAATGATGATCAGCCAGGACTTTAATGGAATCACATTATGACAAGCAGGTAGTAGAAATTGCATTATATATATTTCACACTTTGCATTATTATTTTAAAAGCGAACAGAACGAATTACTAATGTACTTGCAAATGCATAATAAAGTTTCGGAATGTATGACATTGAATGATGAAGCGAGATAATTCAGAAACAAAGCTAGCGAAATTAACTACCTATGCGGTAATGAGAGATGTATTGTCACATTTTTTGTTAATAAAAATGATTTAATGCTCGTGTAAACTAATGTCGCTCTTCGTAGCATTGATGTGTCTTTGTTGAAAGAAAGAAATTTATCTTTATCTCTTTTTTTCTGTATAATTTTAGCATCTTTGAGGAAGGAACAGCTTTTCAATTTTTTCAATATATTATGATATTTTATCTACAATTTCTTTCAAGTAAAAGTTTTCACACTTGAAATTCACGAAGGAACAAGATTTCACCATCTATTCGTCAGAACTCTCTGCTTTTCGATTGTAATCCTATATAATAGATAGATATATAAATATATTGCAAATTTACTGGTATGTACTGCATCTAATGTAAGGATAATAGTCGGAATATCGTGTAGGCACAGAGCTCACTTAGGTAAATCGAGGACTGCATTTCTAGAGTCGTTGAAGACGGCACCGACCAGAAGCATTCATACGCCGACCTCGTATTGCGACAAGTGCGGCGTTACATTTACGACGCAGCACGCTCTTCTGCGACACATCACCTCCAAGCACGAGGAGTCGTCTAACTCCGCAGTCTACTGCAACATTTGCCAGCGCGTCTTCAAGACCAAATGGAGCCGGGCGACGCATAATAGCAGATACCACAGAAATTGACCTGAAAATCGCCAATTTCCGCACGAAATACGGCTGTAATGTTACATCATATATCGTAATATTCCTCCAGTATAGTATCGGTAAATTGATAGCGATTCCATCAATAAGCACTTTGGTTTCGCCGCCTCTGTTTATAGAATTATATTTTCTGCAAAATTATTAAGTAGGTAAACATATCAATAAGAAAAATAAGTAATGTTTTTTGTATACTTAATATTGATAATAGATTATATACTATTTGAACATTATTAATGTTTTTTCTTCTTTCTTGTAGCTTAAAATCATAAGTCACCGTTTGAAAATGACAATATTTCAAATTTGATAAAATGATTATAATGCGTAATTTAAAGAATAATGGGAGAGTAACAAAGATCACATAAGTGTATTATTATTTTTTGTTACATGAGAAATTAATTTCTAAAATAGAAATACTTGTCATGTATATATTTTTACGATTAAATTATATTTTATTAAATATTTATTTAGATTATAAAGATCACACGTAGATTCTAAGTTATTCTATCATATAGAATAACATAGACTCCTCTTTGAGCGCAGGTGCGCATACACCGGCGATGAACATGCTGTTTTTCGTTTTTCCTTCCTATTGATCTCACATTTATTAAATATCCTCTCATATTCGTTTATAAACGAGGAATGTATTTGCAGCCTCCTCTCAATGCAAGTACCAAATGTAATACCGAACCGCCCTGGACTTTATAATCTTGCGCGGTCTTTTCATCGTTCCTAATACAAAAATACAATAGTCATTAATCTTTCAATATACTATTTGAATTTGTCGTTGATTGATTATGTCTGAATAATTTTATATGTAAATCAAATTTTGTTTGATGTACAAAAAAATTTATATAATTAATAATGATTTTTTATCTTTTTTTTATTTAAAAGAAAATGCCTGGTTAGAATAGGTAAGATTACACCCACACATATTTCATTTAAAAACCTGCCCAAGTATAAAATATATATCAAGAGTAACATCGATATTGTTGTTAAAAGAACGGAAATGGAAGGACATCACTTCTTGACATATGTAAGTAAATCAATACTATGAGGAGATGCAAAGTATGTATGACAAAGGGTTTGAGAGAAGTTACGTTATTGTTGTGTCTATTGTAACATTTCTATGAATTGCAAGTTACAGGAATTTGATTTTGTATAATAAAACTTATAAAATCGTACATATATATTATATATACAATTTTAATAATATACATACATCTGTTTGCCAGAGAATATTAATCGCTGTTGCTGTGGTGGTATTCCTTCCTTCTCTTCCACTCTTTCTTTAATTCTCTCTACCTTGTCGGTAGGTTCTATATCTATTTCAATCTAAAAGAATTATGTCATTACTATTTACAAATATACATATTCATTTAACACAGTTACTTATTGAACTTGAATTTGCATACAAGATGTTTCTACTAAAAATAGTTCCGTTAAGAAAAAAATAATTAAAATAAGATGCAACTATATTGTTATATTTTATAAAAATATCAATGATACTTTAAATGAATCAATGCTTTGATGTAAATTTTATAATAGATTCTAATTATGCCTAATATAAGCTTATGAGATTTGTTTATTTATTAAAAGTATGACTTTCAAATTTCAACTTCTCAAAATATAACAAAATAAAAGATCTCAGAAAATAAACTTAGATATCAGATTGTTTATCTTTGATCAACACAACAAGAAGTGTGGGTGACTCTTGCAATAATAAGATTAGTATAATTTTGAGTACTGATCACGCAGCAACCACGATCACTTGATTTTATAAAATCCTTTGATTTCGGGATACTTGCCTCTTTTCCAGTGAGGGTCTGAAACACGATTAGAATTGATATTATGACAAACCGGCGTAATTTACGAAGTGAAATCCGACAACCTGTCGGACCATCATAATTACCTTTACTTTTATCAACATTTTTCAGCTATCACTGTTTATGCTTAATTATCGCAGTTTTCAGTTATCACTGGCTGAAACTTGCCAACACTACAGAAAAATCGGCGTAAAGTTCAACGACAAACTGCGATTACTACTGAAGGAATAACAATAACCCCAACCGACCTAACCAAATTCCAAGTTATGTCGCGTGTCGCCGTCTGTTGGTAACAAATGTTATTAATTAATAAAATTATATATATTTCTAAGTTTATTATACATTTTCTTCATTCACAAGTCTATATGTTAATGTAAAATTATAGCAAGTTTTTTATATATACTTTGGTATAAAATAATATTTTATTTCCATTTTTACATTTCTTTAAAAGTATATATACCAATTAATTCTTTTAAATACATATATCACATTTTTTGAGTTTCTTGTAGTTATTTTCTTTTTATCTTAATAATAGTAATACATCAAACATTATGAGTTTTTCGTCAAGAAATTATATATGTAATTTGTGAAAGATATTTATCACAACTTTTGCAACTGTATATCAGCATAATTGTACCGATAAACAACTGCCCAAAGTTTAATAATGAATTGGATAAGTTCTTAACGATCTGTCACAATCTTGAGTTTTTCTTCTTGGGCTATCAACTGATTCTTGATTTTCTGTAACAATTCCTTCTTCACAGAATCTGGTACTAGTGTGCGAGCTCTGGTTGTCACTGCAGATAGCAGCGTATCATAAGTGATGTCGTGACCATGTTCCTTTATCAACTCTTTCGAGATTAATTTTACTTGATCTCGCCATCCACATTCGACCAATCTACGTCTCAATAATTCTTTTAGTCTAGAAATAAATTTTAAACATATTATATCTATCTATCTAGTTATTGGACAATCTGATTGTATTTGTAAAACTGAATCTGCTCAGAAATTGTTTAAATAAAAATTTTAGCTATTTATCATAAAACAGAATTTATACAACTAAAAGGATTCATTTTGCGAGAATTATTTAAATAATCTATTTTAATTGTGTAAGCAATGTGAAAAATGTAAACAATATAAACAATTAATTTATATTTTACCCATCGCGATCGCCAACCATCACTAATCTCTGATGTAGTGCAGTCTTCATCAATATATAAATTTAATTATATAATCTGATTTTCCGTTTTTTTATTCTGCGAATTATTTATTTTCCATTAACCTATTAAGTCAACAATGTTCAAATTCAAAGCAATGGTTTAACAGACGAGTAATATTATTCTACTACTAGACTTCGATGTGCCATTTGGATGCGTTCGAAAATTCTACCTGTTGGGTACAGTAGCACTCAATTGACCAATCAGGACAAAGAAATATTTGTTCCTTTTGTTCTGATTGGTCAATTGAACTTTACCCTACGGACATTTTTGATCTCCCTTTCTACAACTTTAAGCCGGTATCTCATTCTAATTTCACCAAAATGCAAATTCGCTCTAGATAATCTTGACTCTTGACTTTGTACCGGCTGATAAGATGTAAATATACTTTTTATATGTTATTATAAATGATGTATAAATATATAAAAGGTATGCATTTTTTTTTAAAGATTATAACTCAAAGATTTCAACACGATTTGTCCGTTTACAACACGACTACTTTGTTTTAAGATTTTATTTTTAGATACTATTTTTCGTGATTAGTATGTAAATTTTATTTTATTGTGATAAAAGTGTGGAAAGTTTATCAAACAATATAAGCTTCTGAAAAATTTAATATAAATTTTATGAAATATTTTATTTTATGTGTGTGTACATATATATATATTTACATATTTTTATTTATATTAATTACTAATATTAATCTATATATTAATTTTTTAGGATATGGCATCAATAATATTAAGACGTATTTTTCAAAAAAGGTACTTGATTATACCAAGCACTTCACATTGCCTCAATGTTATCCCTAAACACGATGTTTGGTATTCAACAAAGAAATCTGTAACTAACATTGAACCCAGTGAAACTGATACAAAAGTACAAGTTGGCACAGCAAAAATAGGTAGGTAAATTTCAGATGATTTATATTGTACATTATTATGCATCTTGCATATATTTTTTTTCTTTTTTCAGTCAAAGAAAATCTGAAATCTGCTGGACAACTAGGAATAATAATAAGTGGCATTGGAATTACAGCTTTTGTATTGTATACCTTATTTTCTGAATTATTCTCCAGTGAAAGTCCAGATGCCATTTATAGCAAAGCTCGGGTACGTTGCATGGAACATCCAAAACTTATAGATCTGCTTGGTGCTCCTATAAAGGCTTACGGTGATGAAACAAATCGTAGACGCAGGAGACGTATCAGGTATGTTAAAATAATCTTCTAAAATATACATGAAATATCAGTAACTTTTTTGATTATTTATGAATATTTGAGGAATTATGAATATTTCTTATATTCATAATCCCAGATATATATGAAAAATACTTTAATTTTTTTTTAAGAATATAAACAAATTTTGGAGTAATATATTTTTTCCCTATTTATTTTTTTCAGTCATATGTATTTCATTAAGGATGGTATCAAATATATGAGACTGAAGTTTTATTTAGAAGGAACAAGACGACGTGGCACGGCATTTGTAGAAGTGAAGAAAGTAAGCTTACTAATAATATTTGCAAAAATAATAATAATAAATATTTATACAAACATATATATTCAATCTTAATTTCAGAATGAATCTGATAAATATGAATATTCATACCTATATGTTATGGTGAATCATTTTGGAATAATTGCAATAGAACCCGAACAGAATGTTGCTGATATGCAGCAAATTTAAGAATTTATATTGGATTTTAGATGACTTAATATAAGAGAGAGATAATTGATAATTATATAATATATCTAGATATGTAAATAATATTTTGTATTATTAAACATATATAATGTAATTTTATACAAGATTGTAGCTTTTTTATATAATATTTTTTCTTTTATACTTAAATTGTTCTATTTATTTATTTTGTATTCTAAAGTTTAATTTTTTAATTTGCTTTGTTAGTGGATTAATAGAAAACTGCTAAATGTTGATTAATCATTGTTTCTTAAAATATAAAAATCAACTGGCTCTTTTTAAATAAAGCTGCAATTGTTTAATATATTTTTAATATATTTTGATCCTTTTTTACAATCTTATATTCTTATAGTTATAACATAATGTTATTATATGTACTTTCTTTTCGTTAGTGTGTGAAAAATCATTTATTTTTGGAATTACGTCATTTTATATTTCTACCCTAATCTTGAACTCGATGATGATGAAAGAAAGACTCACACACAAAAGTATATCGCGGGACGTTTTTGTTACGGAAACGGAACTGAGTTACGAAATTCGGAGAACAAATTCTTGTGTGGCGTGTTACGTGGACGCTAAAAATATGTATTATCCTCGCTATCATTTACTCATGCCGACACGCGAGTCTACGTACGCGTAGCAGCATATATGTGCACGTTATCAGATGTCAATAATTATTAAATAATATATAGATAATAATATTAAATAATATTATATAATAGTACTATTTGTCCTCTCCTCACACTATTATACAATTATGTCAGTTAAATCATTACGCATATATTGTATACACACTCGTGAAAATGTTTCCAAAAAAGAGAAATTTACGTCTGCGATTGTTTGACTTCTTTCATTATTATTTCTAATATCAATAATAAGCAATATATTTGTCATTGTTTCATTTTATAGAATGTAATATAATATAAAATCGATTTTTTATTAAAAATAAAGCTTTCTACAAATAAATTCTCTGGATTTATCTGTATGAGAATTATAGATACTTCTGGAGAGGAGATACTCTCTCTTCTTCTTCTTCTCTCTTCTTGTGTGTATTTGTAATGTTCTATAAACAATTTGAATACAAAAAATAAAAAATATACCAGCTAAAAGCAATCGAGTAATGACTCGATTGCTTTTTTGATCATTAATGAATGAGCACAGCATCCACTGCAGAGAGGCGTGTCCTGCAATTCCATCGTGATATGTACAACGTTTACTAAGGTATGCGATATGATATAAAGTGCCCACGTTAGCGTGTATTCGCATTTCATTATACTGTTAGTTGTCTTTCCTAAAACTTAATCGAAGGTTGGCGGGAGATATGCTATCGTTTGCTTCACTGCAGCTGATTCTTACTGACAGTCGTCTGACAACCGGCACGGAGACTGTAACGAGTTATTCCAATCATCTCGCACACACGCGTTAGAAATGTGCATAGTGACGTGATACGTGCAAAGTTATTTGTGAAAGAAAAATACTTCAGATTGTGTTTTGCATACAGGTACGCAGTTATCAATTTATTTTAAAATATTATATATGTATAATTATGAAAAAGTATTCATATTTATTCGATAAAAGTATTAAAAACTAATATTTACAGTTTAACAATTCTTGAAAATTTTATATATTTATTTGTTGCAAATATATGAAAGAGAGATCATTTATCACTTTTGAAAGTATTATGCGAATAATCTTTATATGAATTTTTAGTAAATTTATAAGCTATTAATTAGAAATATATTTGAGATTTAGAATTAATTATTGTATCGAAATGTTTAATTAATTTTGATAGCGATTCTTATTTATACAATACATTTAACTATTTTTTATGTATGTTTTATATTAATTAATAAAATTAATAAGAAAAGCCGAAGATTTAAAAAATGATAAATTAATAAACACACATTTTAGGTATGATTCATATGCATATGAATCGAGGGACGGCATAGAAGACATAACTTTTATACGGATAACGTCTGCATCCCTCTCGGTTATTACAATGATGAAAAAGTGTTGCCCGTGTTCGTGTCTTTCTGGATTTAGGGCCGTATTCAGGCCCCAACATATCAGATCTTTGCAGACGCCACGACCGCCTTCAACCACTGCCCCCGGTAAGTTAATCCTGTGCTAAAAGGATTGCTAAGTGTTAATTAAATGCACTGACAATTAAAATAAAGGTATGAAAAAAATATTATGTATGGTATTTTGAAAAAGATAATAATCAAATGTAATGCAATGTGTAAATGATATAATAAATAAATAGTATTTGTATGTTAAAGTAAACGTCGTGTAATATTGTTGCACATATTGCATTATATTTGTATACTGAAGAAATTCTAATTATAACGCCATTATTAATGTTGATTAAAAATTTGAGAGGGAAGTATAATTTTTCGAATAGATTATGTCCCTTAATGTTTTCCCGAGGCGAGCGCAGCTAAATATTCTTGCGAGATTACGATATTATTTGCATATCTAACAAAAGTTTGCATTAGGAGAAAAATTAAAAATTACAAGAGAGATAAGAATATTGTCTTACTCGTTTCCCCGTTCAAAATGATTCTTGTGTGCTTGTTTCTATGTTTTGCTACGAGAGTTGATAAATTTTTTTAAAATTTCGGTTTTTTTCGACCTTTCATCCGCATTATCGAAATGAGACATTTGTGGATATCAAAGAGAAGTAATTACACATTTATTGTGTGTGTATAATTTTTGTAAATATTAAAAACTATAATTATTTATGCTTCATTAATGTATACATAATCGATGTAAATTATTAAAGTACAAAAGCAATCATTGTTATACCATTAGAAATCACTGAATAAGATAAGAATTTTCATGAGCGATATCAAAATCCGCGATTGAGTAAAACTTGATAAAGAAGGGTACATCCCGAGATATATTTGCCCTGACACGTAGTCAATTGACCCCTTTGAGGACGGAGCGCAGAGGCAGAACGAAAACCAATTAATAAAAAACGAGAAGATAAGAGACTAACGTCTATCTGTGCGGTATGAATCATGAGCGCGTAAAATAATGCGGTCCGTATTGCACGCCTAAAAGTAAATCGTGATGGAGGCACGTGCTCTACCGAGATGATACATCGAGTAATATTTAGTGAAAGCTTTTGATTTTCTCATCAAGATCAGACGATCATGAATTATCACGAGACAATTTTAATCCCTGTAATTTTTCGCTTCTGTGATTTTACTTAAAAAATTCGAGGGTATTGTTTGTTAATTAATACTTCGTGAAATTGTTGATATATGAATTTCCCAAACAGATTTTTAAACGAGTTTTGAAATTATGTTTTGTAACTGTACAATAAATAGGCTAGATATTAGCGGATTATAATTTAAATATATTTAATTATTATTAAATGTAAATTAAATCAGGAGGTTTGACCGTTTGAACACGTGCGTAAAGGATTAAATATCCGAGATGTCCAGTTAAGAAGCAAAGTGCTTTTCTAGTATACTTAAAACCTATTTTCAGAATATCGGTCAGGGATAAGATGCTGCGTTCCATAGGTTTTGCGATACGACACGTGCTAAGAAAAAGTGTATTTAATTAACGATTTTTGGTATGATGAAAAATGCAACAGACATCTACTATTGTATTGTATGTAACATCCCAGTGAGCGGATGATTATTGAGAGGATGATCTTTTTAAGAAGACTTTTTAAAGACTTAATATTAAATTTTCTTAGAAATGATATCAGTAAGTTATCTTTTTGTAAGATATCTTTCACAAGAGCTCTTTATGATATCTTAAACTTGAGTACTTTATGAATTTCTTTTGATAACATATTGCTCACTGGGATATGATGTCATTATCATCATTTCGAAAAAATTGCAAGGTTTTTTTAAATTCAATACGGGTTGGCGATGATTTTATTATCGCGATATAAAATTAAAAGACGATTGATGAGATGAACATTAGCATATGTAGGCGTGAAGATTTTTATCCGTTTATCATTCGTAGCCACGAATCAAATATCGTTAATTTGGTGATGATCTATTACGTAACACTGACTTCAAATTAATAAAAAAATATAACATTGCAAAATAAAATTGTAGTAGAAACTGCTGTATATTTTTCTATAGAAAACTTAAGAAATTCAATATTATAAATTTTACGAGAAACATAAGAAGTACTCGGAAGAATTGTATTTACTCATGTTTTTGACAGAGAGTGCTTGTATTTTGACAAGCGGCCGAACGATTTGTAAATAAACACAGATTCAATCAATGTAACGCGCAATTTATTTCTCGTTTAAGCACACTCGCGATTTATCGTTCTCTGGTTAAGAAAATATATACTCAAGCAGATGGGAAGGCAGCAGCTTCCGCCTCTCTGCGAGATGCCGACCTTCATTAAACGGCATCACTTTGCAAATTATGTATATTTGAAACGGTTGAATTATTCATTGGGTATATCTCGTATCTGTGTATGCAATTGTATCCGTGATTGTATCTGTTGTTTTATCCTGCAAGCACCATTTGTCATTCGCCATAGATATATATGTACGGAGTCTGTTAATTCTTTTAAGAAAGATGCGTGTGTGTGCATTAATCAATTAGACGTAAAAAAATAATATTTTCGCATCTTTTGTTAAAGAGAGACATTTTTATGGTTCAAAACTCTTTTTCTAAAGTCAGATCTCGAATTTATATTAATGAATATATTTATCAATCTCATGCTGTCATGAATGAAAGTGAAATTACGCAAGAGGCGCCGGCGTGATGCCGTGATCGCTAAACGATGACATCATTTTTTCGCTAAAGTATAAGCTCATGTCATTATCAGCACTTTTACTCGAATTATTTGAATTAATCTGAAAATCTGCATTTTTACTGTATAATTAAAAAATTATTTTTTAATAAATATAATTTATATTATTTTAACACACACGAGAATTTAAGAAGCTTTCTTTCATGGATCGCAAGTTGACTGACAGATTAGTCACGAATTTTGCGCCGGCTCGTGCTTTCATGATTATTCGTCCGAGAATTTCAATCGGGGATTCTCCTCATTAAGTCACTCGTTTCCAGATAACTTATTCCGTTGACTCACTTTCTTCTATATAAATAGCACGACATGTAGCATACAAGCTACTGGACTTTTGTTTCTCGACGCGGATTTATTATACTAGTAAAAGGCGGCGCTTTTCTGATGTCAGATAATTAAGATGTCCTCACTGGACGAGCATCTTGATCACGTATGCCTCAGGTGTGCAAGATGCTTTCAATAAGAATTATAATTGCATCTTTTGGATGACATACACATATCGATATAGATATACGCATTATAAAAACTGCATTAAACGTTCTCTTAATTATTCGAGCGTTTAACGTTTGTTGTGTTGAAAAAATACAATTTGCAATATAAAGTAATATTTTAGATATTAAGAGATAAAATAGAACTTTATATTTTTTACACATTTAATTTCAAATAAATTTTACTTTAATAGAGCTATGCAATATTGAAAATTAAACGCGAAACAAGATCTTATTAATTTTTTTTCTCAAAAAAGAGATCAATTTTAAATTGATCGAAGGATTAATCGATAGCGAGCAATAAGCGCGAATGATGTCAGTCCAAAGCATTCTTATACTTGGCCGAGTTCTCGTCGTTATTTTTGTTCGGAAACACAATACTTACGCACACATCTGTGATACTAATCTCATTATTGAATCATTTGAATATCATCATTTTCGTATTAAAACTGATGAAATAAGCGAATTACAATGACAACTGGAGCGCGTATTGTTATTTGCGAATCTAATAATAAGACGAGTAATTCGCATAATCTGTCTTGTTGTTCAAATCGCATCTTAAAATAAGTACGTTTTAAATAGAGTCTGATGAAATAACATGGTAATTGTTGTCGGAGAATCGATGATTAATTATAGAGCAATCATAACATTTCTATGTTAGCAAATGTAAGAAATAATTTATAAGATTCGATCTTAATTATATCGTGCTGTGTTTTTATCATTTCGTTACATGCTATGCGAATTGAGTTTATCTGTATAATTTTCTAGAGCAATTATGTTGTTTCATATAAAAACTGCAATTTTCATGCAACGCATATTTTAATTTTCAATATAAGGCATTCTACAAAAAATGTAATTTAATCTTTAACTATATAAACTTTATTAAAATGCATTTTATTGCGTTTATCTTTAAGTGGTTTCGTTTTTTATTTTTATTTTTTTATTTTTTTTTTTAATAATAATACATTAATTGTCAATTTATATCTTAAGCAAAGCCTTCAAATCAATTTATGCAGGTAAAAGTGGGTGACGCCGATCAATTGCTTACAATGACAATGTGTCAGCGCGAGGAATAATATATAACGCACGTTGAAATCATGCATAATAAGAAGGGCACTTCTTCAAATTATATGTGATTGTCGCAGATTGCTTTCTGACTAATACAAAGCACACCTTGTCCTTCCGTAAATAGTAAAACTTGATCTCTGCGCTTGACCTGAAATCCCAAACCGATTGGCTGTCGATTTCACTGATATATTAAACTGTATCTTATTAACCAGAAATGGTAATTACAAAAGTTGATGATAATAAAGTGATTTCTTTTCTTGTATATGTTCCTAAATATATATACGAACTGGTATAAAAGAATAGAAATGAACCCGTTACATTGAAATAAATTATTAACCAAAAAAAAACGAATCGCTTAAATGAAAATTAGATAGCAAAAAATGTGCAATTTTAGTACATAATTTATAATATTTTTAAACAATTAATCACAACGGCGCTAAGAAAAATTCTTTAATTAGTTATTAATGTTAAATATCTATACATTAAAAAACTTGTGTTATGAATTATTGAAATATTATTTTAATATTATATATTATATCTTTCGTAATATTTCATTATTTGATTAATATTAATGTTAGATAAACTTTAAGATATTTTTTATGTATGATATATTTCAGGATATTGTATACAAGTTTTAATTACTATTTATATACTGTGACAATTTAATTACATGAAAAATCTTGCGCGACTACAATTTTGTAATAATCAATTAAAATGTAAAGGAAACGGTGTTTGTGTTACTATTAAAAAATCTGCATGCAATTCAGGATAGTAATCGATCTTTCTCTGATCATTAATCATCGATGCCGTTCTGATTTGCGGAATTTTGTAATCTAAGGGGATTGTGCAGATTTCCCAATAGTAGATAATTCTTTCTACATTCTAATTGGTTGTAATGACTCTTTTAATAAGCATGATTATAGGCTTATGTTATTAAATTGATCCGTAGGTGTAAAATCTTTAAATTACAAAACGTTATTCACATTTCTGTAGGCGTAACTAATTTTCGTAGTCTTATTTGTCGACATTTTAAATGAATACTTGCGAAATTTCGATTCGCGATCATGGAAACATTTATCAATTTTAAATAAAATAGTTAAATATTTGTGAAATTTAAATCATATATAATACTGAAATTTGTAAAATAAGAGAAAACTTGAATTATTAATTATTATAACATTTAAAATTATATATTGCATTTAATGATATGGTTGCCGTATATTACAAATATACCCCTGGACTACTTATGAGAATAATGAGTGCTAAGAATGATGCATTATTATTTTTATGATATATATTTTGATAGCAATTTTGTTTTCCTTGAGCAACCTCAACCTGATTACAATATTTTCAAAATCTTAAATTTGTTAAATAAAAAATGCCACTTGTTACTGTTGCTCCGAATTTTAATATTTCATTAAAATATATAAAAATTCTATAAAAATTGAATTTGTTGAATTAAAATTTTTAAAGCTCTTAAAATTTTTTAACTAAATATTATTTAGTTTATTATAAAATTCAAGGGAAATTTTCATCGAAATTTACAATAATCGATTGCAATTATATATCACCGATTAACTTGCTATGAGAATGAAAAGTGGGTGATTCTCTCTCTCGCTCTTTTATTGACGCGGGTGTCACCGATGACGCCATGTATGGTTGCACCCGGCGTTGCAGCACGTTAGTCCTTGAAATTGCTCCTAGAACGCACTAGCCTAGGTTACATATTTTTCCTTCCTCTTTGTCATCGGCAAAGTTCTTCAGTCAGTCGGCGAACTTGCGTTCGGTGCGTTTCTCACCCATGTATCCAGCCTCTCGTTCGCATCCGCAGCCGGTGCGGCCGGTGCTCCCGGACCGCCGTGGGATGTTTTATAGATTTTACGATCGCTACCGGATATTCAACGATCGACGTATCCGACCATTTCCGTTTAGATTTTATTGTGAGTCCTGTGCGAAGAATTAGAAGCAATATAATTATATAAAGAAAAATGACATCTAAATTACAAAACGCACTCGTCAGTTTTGTTATATATATATTTAACTAATACATTTAGTTTAGAAAAGAATTAAATTGTCAGCATCATAAATTGTCTAGCAAAAAAATGAATTAATCATTAATCACTGAAGATGCTTTTTTTTCAATTGACTAAAGACATAATCTTATTCCAAGATTTTTACAGATATTCATCATTTAATTATTATTTGATATTGCTATTTCCATTGGAATAGAATTCTTTTTTCTCCCTATATCGTATTACAATTTTTATTATTTTAAAAATGTTGTTGTTTATAGGGGAAGATTTTGGCGTTCCAGTATTGACGGTTCATGATGTAGATCCTTGCATTGAAGAGAACGGCGAGAATCATCGGACATCCAGATACGAGCTGATGACTCGTCGAGATGACAGAGCGAGACTAATTGTCAGACGTGGTCAGGAATTTTATCTGCATCTCAGCCTATCTCGAGACTATATTTCTTCCATCGATGGGATTTCTATCGTCTTCACTCTGGACGGCATCGAAAGGCCGCAATATGGACATGGGACACTGGTGGCAACCGCTCTGCTCAATCCTGGAGAGATTTCCGAAGCTGCTTGGCAGACCACTATTGACGCTAGAGGACAAAATTTTTTAAGGATAAAGGCAAGTCGGAAGCTCGTACCTTTAATATATATGTATATATGAAATTTAAAAAAATATCTTGTTAACGAAAGCTTTTCTTTTAGGTTGTACCATCCGCAAATGCGATTATAGGCAAATGGAAAATGGAGATCGATACTAAGAACAAGGAAACTGAAGGAGCTGTCAGTTACACGATGGATCATCTATTTTATTTAATTTGTAATCCATGGTGCGAAGGTATTTATTCACTCAAAAAAATGTCTTGCTGATATAGGTAGATTTCTAGGTGTCACAACAAAAATTTATCGCTATTTTTTGTATCTGTTAGAATATTGTCTGTTACATATAGAATTTATAGCAGCAACATTCTAATAATATCTTCTAGAAAATTTAGGTCCCATTGCCAAATGTTAATCACTGCATTGGATAAATATGAGTTTCGATACTACAGCTAGAACGATCTTTGTGAGAAATATAACTGCCAATTATAACTGCAGCATCGAAAAATTGAGAGAAATTGTTTAAAAGAGCTAGATAGATTGGGCGCGTTATACAAATATGTTAGATGTGAGGATTATATATTCATTTGTTTCTTGCCGCTAATCTTTTCTGTGTACCACAGCCAAACTTTGTACCAAGTATGATTGGCCTTAACATGGATAGGCGCCACAGAAAAACATTCTTTCTAAATTTCACAAACAGTTCAGATATAAATTCTGTCTCTGTCACTTAGATTGATTAAATGCGAAACATATGCGATATCACAGTATTTGCTAATCATTTATGTACCTCAGTTAATTTTGCGCACCCAGAAAATTTTTGCTGTAGTTGCAAAACCACTTTTTTGAGTGTTTGCAAATATTTTCATCTCTTTTGTTTTTCAACAGAATATTGAGCAACATATCACGCAAGTTTTCAAAGTTTTATATTATTGCTTTATAGCAGACAATATGAAAAATCTCTCTTAATTCCATAGAAAATTATAGATTACCAAAGAAAAAAAAAAAAATTTCGGTTCTATCAAGAAGGATTGAAAAATTTCAAGATATTTGCAATCTCGAATTTTGCACAAAATATTTTCTCTTTAGACGATGTGGTTTACTTGGAGAATGAGGATGAACGTCAGGAATACGTACTGGCGGAGGATGGTTTAATTTGGCGCGGAAATCGTAACCGTTTGCGACCCACCGTGTGGAAGTACGCGCAATTCGAGCGAGATATTTTGGATAGCGCTTTGCACCTGATGAATCAAGTCGGCAAGGTTCGAGTTTCCGGCAGAAACGATCCCGTTGTCATAACGCGTTGTTTATCAGCCGCGGTAAGTTATTATTTCTCCCGTTGAACCGTATTTTGAAAAATAATTTTGAAAGTATATTCTCTCTCATTCTTTCGAAAATATGAGCAAAGTTGCGTAAAAATAGAATCTTTTTAGAATTTTTTTAAAATTTTAGAATTGTTTTTTGTAAATGCCATCTTTTCTAGGTGAATTCCCCCGATGACAATGGGGCAGTGATGGGAAATTGGTCGGATGATTACGAGGGTGGCACACCACCTACGAGGTGGATGGGCTCGCAAAAAATACTCCAGGAATATTACAAAACGAAGAAACCGGTCAAGTACGGACAGTGCTGGGTCTTCTCCGGCGTGTTGGCGACAGTTTGTCGCACTCTCGGTATACCTTGTCGAGTGGTGACTAATTACTCGAGCGCTCATGATACTCAGAGCAGTCTGACCGTGGATTATTTTGTGAATGCTGAAGGCAAGATCATGGAGGAGCTTAACAGCGATTCGATATGGTAATTTGAAGAAAAAGAAGACGGTCAACTTTTAATTATGAATCACAAATAAAAGTGAAAATAGCTCTAATTAAAATAGAAATAAAACATATACGAAGAGCGATTAGTTTTATCAATCAGTATATAATCAGCGTAATCAGCTGTGTCGATATATGATTAAAATGATATTAATTCAAAATTTTAAAACTTAATGAAATTCAAGAAGTAGATTTATTTTAAATATCCGAATTTTTTTCTTCCTTTTATTCTAAAAGGAATTTCCACGTCTGGAACGAGGTGTGGATGAAACGATTAGACTTGTCGCCAGATTGTTCGGGATGGCAAGCGATCGATGCCACTCCTCAGGAATTGAGCGAAGGAGCGTATCGTTGTGGACCAGCCTCCGTGACCGCCGTGAAGAAGGGCGAAGTTCTACGTCCCTATGATAACGCGTTCCTCTTTGCCGAGGTAAATGCTGACAAGGTTTTCTGGCGTTACAACGGGCCTACACAGCCCTTAAAACTAATTCGCAAAGATATGTATGGGTACGTGCAAAATATATTTTATTTACATTGTCAATATATGTCACTCGTCTTCGATTATTAAGCCTATAATTAGCCTAATTAAATTGAAATTTGTTATAGCATCGGCCAATTGATTAGCACAAAAGCGGTTGGGAAGTGGGCGAGAGAGGACATCACGCACACTTACAAATATCCAGAAAGTAAGTGGATTTTTAACAGAAAATTGTGCAATGGAAAGGAATGTCATATTCCTTAATCAAGAAATAATTTATTTATAATTTTATAATGTTACAAACCAAAAAAATGTATTGATTTTATTCTAATTTTAAAATATTAATACATTGATATGATGCACATCTAGTTGGCTACTAATATGAATTGTATAAGAATCATATCTCATAATAGGTTCTGATGAAGAACGTGCTGCCATGTTGAAGGCGCTGCGTCAAAGCGAGTCTTTATTTAGCCGTTATTATCTTAACGAGGAGTTCAACGACATCATGTTCACTTTTGAGCTGCGCGATGATATCATAATCGGACAACCATTTAGGTACTTAGTTTGTTAATAAAACTAATTTATTACGTTCGCAATATTTTCTAAATAATGTAGTATAACTTGAATTGTAAAATTCTTCAAATTCTGCAATCTACTTTTCTCTACAATTTTATTTTAGAGGACTATCGTTTTCTTAATGCTTTATTTTATTGAGTATAATATTTATTCACAACTTTGTCTTTATTTTTTGATAGTGTTGTACTATTGATTAAAAATCGGAATTCGATGATGGAATATCGCGTGTCCGTAATTCTGAGAGTGGAGACTGTCATGTATACCGGTCGGGTGGGCGAACCGGTGAAGAGATTGCACGTCGATAGATTAGTCCGACCAGGAGTGCTCGAGGAAATTCGCATGGACGTTTCTTGGGAGGAATACGGACCAAGATTGTTAGATCAATGCGCCTTCAACATCGCTTGTCTCGCTACCGTAAAGGACACGAACTTCGAGTATTTCGCGCAGGATGACTTTCGCGTCAGGAAACCCGACATTAAAATCACGGTAATTATTAGATTATACATTGTATTATCAAAACTCTTGTCAATGAAAAAAGTAAGATTAAAGACGAAAAATAGATTTGGCAACTGACATATACATATATATTTAATTTCGTGATTTAGTTGCATAGTGATGCAATCGTGGCTCAGACTCTTAATGCCTCGGCCAAGTTTCGCAATCCACTACCAATTCCTCTGAAGAAGGGTGTGTTCCTTATCGAAGGACCTGGTCTGGACGAGCAGTTGAAGTTGAAACTATCAGAGCCCGTTGAGGTGGACGCGGACGCAGAATGTACCTTCTCCATGATACCGAAGTTAGAAGGACGTGCCAGGATAGCGGCGAAATTTTATTCGAAGGAATTAGAGGATGTTGATGGACATTCGAATAATTTTATAGTCAAATCAGCAAAAATAGTCAGTGATTATGAGTGACTGCGACATTCTCGAAGATACTTTATTTCTTGAGGATAATAATTTAACATGTCGTTCTTATATTTTTACATAATTTATATACATACTAATGGCGTAATAATAATTTTTCAGTGAATGCAATAAAAAAGTATTAATTGTTGTAAAATTATGATTATAATTGTTTAATTCCAAAAAGATTTTAACTGAGTGCGATAATATATCTCATATTTAACCGAGTTCTCATCGTTATTTTTATTCCGAAATACAATACTTACGCACACGTCTGTGATACTAATCTCATTACTTTTAATTTTCAATATAAAGCATTCTACAAAAAATGTAATTTAATCTTTAACTATATAAACTTTATCAAAATGCATTTTACTGCATTTATCTTTAATTGGTTTCTAGTTTTTTTTTTAAATAATAGTACATTAATTGTCAATTTATGCTTTAAGCAACGTCTTCAAATCAATTTATGTAGATAAAAGTGGGTGACGCCGATCAATTGCTTACAATGACAATGTGTCAGCGCGAGAAATATATACGTACGTTGAAATCATGCATAACAAGAAGGGCAATGACGCTATGTATGTTTGCACTCGGCATTGCAGCACGTTAGTCCTTGAAATCCTAGAACGCAATAGCCTAAGTTGCATATTTTTTTCTTCCTCTTTGTTAGAAATTAATAAATAAATTTAAAGAAATAAAGAAATTTAATATTCTTTATTTGCTAGCCAATCGTGTGATACTGTGTGTTACACTGTGTCATCTGTGTAACATGCTGGAAAACACCCTTCATTGTAGTGTCATGAATGCTGAGAGAAAGCAAGAGAGAGAATAATGTAGTGGTATGGATGTTGAGTGAAAGAGAAAGAAAGGGAGAAAGGGACAGAGTGGGGGGTTAAGGATCAAAGGACGAGAGACAGATGGACATTCAGTGTGTAGCGACACACTGATCTGCATTCAACGTGCAAGGAAGCAAAAGACTTGAGCCAAAAATTTCTTATATATATACTTTTTATCATAGGATAAATTTGATAGTTTCCTTCGTATATTTCGATCTTTCTTTACTTTGATCCCACAAATTTGGGGGCTCATCCAAGATCGAGGATCCGAGATTCAAGATTCGAGATTGAAAGTCTGAAGAATTGATCGAGGTTTTTACATACGCGTCACGAGAAGACGAAAAGACAATAGTACGACGTAGACTGAGATTCGTAGTGGAAAGTGAAGAAAATTGAACAGAGTGCTGAGTAACTGATTGTGAGTGTTAAAGAAACAACCAAGCGCATTAGCTGAGTGCGTAAGTGCGTAAAAGACGAAAAAAAAGGAGCAAATCGCAGCTTCTATGAAAAGCCGTTAAGACGTCAAGAAGGACGCATAGGGCGCTGTTTCACCGCCATATTGCAGACGCTGCGTGACAAGCGGGTAAAACAAGGAGGCGAAGGGTTGAATTCGAAAAACGACGAAGATGAATTTCTGAAGTTGTAAAACGAAAACGTTATCGAGAATTGGCCATAGCAGTTGAGTGCGTATGTTATTCCATTTTTCGATAGTGGCAGTGTATGCATACCGGACGGCCATAGTAACTGAGGAAATGGGAAGTGTCGGAAGTGTGTGTCGTGGGAAAACGTGCAGTGCTAACTTCTTTCTTTGGAAAATGTAACGCGGAAGAAGGGCATCATGGCGACGAGGGACGGATCGACGTGGATAATCTATCGGCAGACGAATTTCGAACGAAATTGGAAGAGCACGGACTTCCAACAACTGGTAGCAAGACGGTTCTACGAGAACGACTAAGGGGTGCATTAGAGGAAAACAACCCCGACGACGATGATGAAGCTGAAGATATAGATTTGTTGACTGTAGCACAGCTAAAAGACCGATTGCGTAACCTCGATTTAAAGATAAGTGGCAATAAAAATGTATTTTGTACCAGATTGAAAGCCGCGATAGGCATGAACGAAGAAAACGATGAGGAAGAAAACGAATCAGTTTCTAATCATGATACTACGAGAGTTTTGCAGCAAGCTTTAAACTTCAAAGATGTCGAGGATTTCTTGGAAACCTTCAGTGGTGATAGAAAATAAAACGGAAAATAATGGATTGACTATTTCGAAGAAACTGCAGAACTGTATGCCTGGACGGGTGTTCGAAAAATAATTTACGCAAAGAGATTAAATCTAACATGACGTATATTTGACTTAAATACAAAAATATTTCAATTAGAGAAATACAAAGAAATAGTAATTAGTTGGACAAATTTAGTCAAGTCAACAACTTTTTTTTTCTTAGTGTAGGAAAACCGAAAGAATGGTACAAGCATGTTGACATACTGCAGCAATATATCAATTTATCATATAATTGAGCTATTAAGACCACACCTTTCAATCTATTGATTGGAAAATCCATGTTTTTGAAAGAAAACCTATCTATTTTCGAGAAATAATAGAAATAATAGAAGCAGAACTGATATAGAGCGTTTTAAACAAGAACGCTGTGAGCTCCGTGATAAAGCCATGGAAAATATCAAGCAGATACAGGAAAGTAATAGAAGAAGCTACAGAAGACGCAAAGCTGTTACTAATTACAAAATCAGAGATTTGGTAGCAATTCAAAAAACTCAGATTGGACCAGGCCAGAAATTGCACTCTAAATTCTTAGGGCCTTACGAAGTAACATTTGTCTTGAGAAATAATTGCTATTTGGTGCAAAAGTGAAGTGAACATGAAGGGCCGAACCGGACGAGTACAACTGATTACATGAAGCTTTGGCCTCGTTATCAGGATTTTGAAACAGACTCAGAACATAACTCAGACCTAGAAAAAGATGACATTTATGAGAGCATCGAAGGCAATGTTCCCTGCAGGATAGCCGTAGTGTCATGGATGCTGAGAGAGAGCGAGAGAGAGAGAATGTAGTGGTATTGATACTGAGTGAAAGATAGAGAAAGAAAGAGAAAGACAGAGTGGAGGGTTAAAGGTCAAAGGGCGAGAGACAAAAAAACAGTTAGTGTATAGCGACGCGTGAACGTGCAAGGAAGCCAAAGACTTAAGCCAAAGATTTCTTATATATACTTATATATACTTATATATACTTATTATACTAGCTCTTATATATACTTGTTATCATAGAATAAATTCCTTCGCATATTTTCCTTCGTATATTTCAATCTTGATTACCTTGATCCTACATAATGTTATTCCAAGATTTTTACAAATATTCATCATTTAATTATTATTTGATATTGCTATTTCCATTGAAATATAGAATTCTTCTTTCTCTTCCCATATTGTACTACAACTTTTATTATTTCAAAAATATTGTTGTTTATAGGGGATGATTTATTTGGCATTCCAATATTGACGGTTCAAAATGTTGATCCTTGCATTGAAGAGAACGGCGAGAATCATCGGACATCCAAATACGAGCTGATGACCCGTCGAGATGACAGAGCGAGACTCGTTGTCAGACGTGGTCAGGCATTTTATCTGCATGTCAGCCAATCTCGACACTTTTGTTCTTTCATCGATGAGATGTCTATCGTCTTCATTCTGGACGGCATCAAAAGGCCGCAATACGGAGATGGGACAATGGTGGCAACCACTCTGCTCCGTCCTGGAGAGATTTCCAAAACTGCTTGGCAGGCTAACATTGATCCTATAGACCATCGTTTGTTAAGGATAAAGGCAAGTCGGAAGCTTTACAATACTAACATGCAGATTTTTTATTACTAGAAATTTGATTCTGATTGAACATATGATTTCGTTAACGAAAACTGTTGCTTTTAGATTGTACCACCTGCAGATGCGATTATAGGCAAATGGAAAATAAAGATCAATACCAAGTACAAGCCAACTGAAGAAACTGCCAGTTACACAATGGATCATCCATTTTATTTAATTTATAATCCATGGTGCAAAGGTATTTGTTCGCAAATATCTTAATCTCTTTTGTTTTTCCACAGAATGTTGAGCAACATGTCACGCAAGTTTTCGAAGTTTTATGTTATTGCTTTATAGTAAACAACATGAAGAATCTTTCTTAATTCCATAGAAAATTATAGATTACCAAAAAAATAATAATTTCGGTTATATCAAGAAGCTATAAATTGAAAAATTGCAAGATATTGGCAATCTTGAATTTTGCACAAAATATTTTCTCTTTAGACGACGTGCATTACTTGGAGGGTGAGGATGAACGCCAGGAGTACGTACTGATGGAGGATGGTTTAATTTGGCTCGGAAATCGTAAAGATATGCGTAGCATTAAGTGGAAGTACGCACAATTCGATCAAGATATTTTGGATATCGCTTTGTACCTGATGAATCAAGTCTGCAAGGTTCGAGTTTCCGATAGAAACAATACCATCGTCATAACACGTTGTTTATCCGCTGCGGTAGGTTATCATTTCTCCCGTATTTTGAGAAATAATTTTTAGAGTATACTCTCTATCTTTCGAAAATATGAGGAAAGTTGCGTAAAAATAGAATTGTTAGACTGTCTTTCATATGTGCCATTGGTTTCTAGGTGAATTCCAACATAGACAATGGGGTAGTGGCGGGAAGATGGTCGGGTTATTACAAGGGTGGCACACCACCTACGTGGTGGACCGGCTCGCAAAAAATACTTCAGGAATATTACAAAACGAAGAAACCAGTCAAGTACGGACAGTGCTGGGTTTATGCCGGTGTGTTGACGACGATTTGTCGCACTCTCGGTATACCCTGTCGACCGGTGACCAACTACTTGAGCGCTTATGATACTGACACAGATATTGAGACTGATACTGACACATATATTGAGACTGATACTAAGGAAAGTCTGACCGTGGACTATTTTATGAATGCTGAGGGCGAGATCAAACGAAAGGATTTTATATGGTAATTTGAAGGAAAAGATAACGGTCAACTTTTAATTATGAATCACAAACAAAAGTGAAAATAGCTCTAATTAAAATAGACATAAAACATATACGAAGAACGATTAGTTTTATCAATCAGTATATAATCAGCGTAATCAGCTATGTTGATATATGATTATGATGATATTAATTAAAAATTTAAAAACTTAATGAAATTAAAGAAGTAGATTTATTTAAAATATCCGAATTTTTTTCTTCTTTTTATTCTAAAAGGAATTTCCACGTCTGGAACGAGGTGTGGATGAAACGATTGTTTCCTGATTATTCAGGGTGGCAAGTGATCGATGCCACTCCTCAGGAATTGAGCGAAGGATCGGATCGTATTGGACCAACCTCCGTGGCCGCCGTGAAGAAGGGCGAAATTGTATTTCCCTACGATACCGCGTTCCTCTGTTACAAGACGAATGCTGACATGGTTTCCTGGCTCTACGACGGGCCTGCACGGCCCTTAAAAATAATTCGCACGGATAGGCACAGGTATGTGCAAAACATATTTTATTTTTATTGTCAATATATGTCATTCGTCTTCGATTGTTAAACCGATAATTAGCCTAATTAAATTGAATAATCAGACACAACGGTATTTTTGTTACAGCATCGGCCAATTAATTAGCACAAAAGCGGTTGGAAAGTGGTCGAGGGAAGACATCACGCACACTTATAAATATCCAGAAGGTAAATAAATTTTTAAGAGAAAATTGTGCAATGGAAAGGAATGTGTCATATTCCTTACTCAAGAAATAATTTATTCATAATTTTATAATGCTACAACCCAAAACAATGTATTGATTTTATTTTATAAAATATTAATACATTAATATGACATCTAGTTGGCTACTAATATAAATTGTATAAGAATCATATCTCATAGGTTCTGATGAAGAACGTGCTGCCACGAGGAAGGTGTTGCGTCAAAGCAAGTCTTTATTAAATCGTTATTATCTCAACGAGGAATTCGACGATGTTATGTTCACTTTTAAACGCGACGACATCATAATCGGACAGCCATTTAGGTACTTAGTTTGTTAATAAGACTAATTTATTACGTTCGCAATATTTTCTAAATAATGTAGCACAACTTGACGATACAACTTGAATTGTAAAATTCTGCAAATTCTGCAATCTACTTTTCTCTACAATTTTATTTTAGAGAACTATCGTTTTCTTAAGGCTTTATTTTATTGAGTATAACATTTATTCATAACTTTGTCTTTATTTTTTGATAGTGTTGTACTATTGGTTAAAAATCGGAGTTCAATAATGGAATATCGCGTGTTCGTTCTTCTGAGAGTGGAGATGGTCTTGTATACCGGTCAGGTGGGCAAATCGACGGAGAAAACATACTTTGGCGAACTAGCCCGACCAGGAGAGCTCCTGGAAACTCGCTTGGACATTTCTTGGGAGAAATACAGCCCGAGATTGTTAGACCAATGCAACTTCATCAACATCACCTTTTTCACTACCGTGTTAGACGTGGACATGAAGTACAACGTGCAGGATGACTTTGACGACAGTTTTATAGTCAAACTGGAAAAAAGTCGCAGTAATTCTGAGTGATCGCGATATTTTCGAGGATAATAATTTAACATGTCTTTCTTATATTTTTACATGATTTATATACATATTAATTGCGTAATAATAATTTTCCAGTGAATACAATAGAAAAAGTATTAATTTACGTGCGATAATATACACGAAGTTATGATATATAATATGCAGAGTAGTGGAAGTGTAAAATTAATTACATTTTTTTAATTGTATAAGTATATATATTCGAGTTTGATAAAAAACGAGAAGAATTGTAGAGAATATACGTTTTTATAATTTTTCTTTTAACTAAGCAAGTATTATTATTTAAGCCAAACATTTATCTCAAATCATGAAAAAATCAAACTAGCAATAAGAGAAACATAAAGTGTGCTCATTTCTTGATTATAACTCGATTGCAAAAAGGCAGAACTGTAGATAAATAAGATATCAAATTAGATAAGTTAAGTGCACAATCAAAACTATTATTTATTATCTTTTCTTATATATGGTTTTATTATTATTATATCTTATTATGATGTATGCTATATGAGTTTATAGAATGTATTTTAAGAAAGCGTAACATTATATATATCCACGCATTATTTTATATACACATAAAATAA